AAAAAACTAAAACTAACTAATTAGTGTCGTGTGTGTGTGTGTGTGTGTGTGTGTGTGTGTGTGTGTGTGTGTGTGTGTGTGTGTGTGTGTGTGTGTGTGTTGAATGCAGAATTGGTTCAAAATAGATGTTTGTGATGTCCAAATACAAAATCTGCAGTATCTCGTGAATTACCAATATTGACAAACAAGAATATAAAGTGAGAACCTCCTATCTTTTCTATTTGTTTTGAGATATTATTAAATTTATTGAATCAACTATGGTTTTAAATTTTTAAAAACATCCACATACACCCACTTCACTCAATGATGTATGTATAACAAATTAAAAACTCTGAATGTCCCCTAGTGGTTTCCTCAGCCTCTGCAAAGTACTTTGGTGGCAAACTTTCTTATCCAAGCAGTAAGGTAAGGTAAGACATTAGTGAGCTCAAAATTTCACATGTTTTTGAGACCCAAATACACCATAGTTACTAAGCTTGATAAATTATTTTGGAATTCAATGGTATTGATATCGTAATTTAGTATTTCAAAATGTATATATAAAACACAGTCCAGTTTTATATTCTTGGATATGGTAACATGAGCACACATGCACATCTTCTGTAACTAATGGTAGTATTTCATTAAATAATGCACCAAAGAACATAGACTAATAACATGCAAAAACCAGACAATTTCCCCTAACTATCACAAATTAACAAATCCTGAAAGAGAGGATGTGACAGGTAGGTGTGGCAAGAGGGGTCCAATTTTCTATTTGGTATATCCTCTTCTCTATTTTATCCACCACCCCTCCAGTAACTTCAAACTTAAATGTAAATTACTCGCTATAAAATTGTCATTGCTTAGACAAACCATAATTTTTATAGCCCTCAGTTTTGTTTGATTACAGAGTAGAGAAAATGTGTCACGCGTGTCACATTAGGGGAATTCGGGATTTTCTTAAAACTTGTATACTATTAAAATATGGATTATTAGCTGCAATTTTATGTTATACTAATTGGTATAACAAACAAAAAGTAGTTTAATAATATTTTGAATGTAAGACACTAAAACCTTGTGTCAAGCACTAAAGGATACCCATGGTGATAGGGTTAACAACGACAAAAAAAATAAAATAAAATAAAAAAAATAAAAGATAATTATTGTAACTTTTACGTCCAACCCATTTTTCAGATACGTCATTTTGCTCAATGTTATATTTAGAATGAAATCAATGGTCACGAGTCCAGGTTTTGAAATTACCAGCGAAAACTGTAAACCCTCAAAACTAATTTAATTTAAATAATCAATTTTACATAACTAGATAATACATCTCTGCAAGTAGTATACTTTACCTTAATCTTTCCATCCAAAACCCCCTGTACAAAGTTACGAATGTTTTCCACAGTAATTTTGGTTGTTTCTGGTTTAAATTTATTCATTTCTTCCTCCAAGACAATAAGCCTCATATCTGGAGTATCTTCCTTCTTCAAGCCAAAAAACTCCATGATTCGTTCATGATCCTCTTCATCAGTGTCAATCGTAACAAACAGGACCTGCAAGAAATTATTCAGTCTTGAAAGTTTATACATAAACATAATACTCCTTAGTTAACCCCATCTAATATTCTCCGCGAACCCAAACCAAACTGCAGATTCACTGATGGTTAATTACAAAATAGATTTATTCTGTTATAAAACAAAATTCTGTAGTGCAGACACTAAGCCTCCACAGAAACAATCTCATATCCCTAGCCAACAGTAAATAACAACAATACACTGAACATTGTTGTTGATGCATTACATTTGTCTGTTCCTTTTAAAACACCAAAAATTCTGTTAGGAGGTATGATGAATCATGGGAAAAATAAATAAAACATTTTTACAAATATTAAAGAATCAGGAATCTTTTTTTAATAAATAAAATGAATGTTTATAAACTCACAAAGCAACTTAGATGATGAAAAGGTAAAAAACACCTGTAAAATTTTACAAATTTACCACTTCTATCATTATCGAATATCTATGTTTCAGATTATCTTTATTGCAATAAAAATAAAAACTCAATTTTGAGTTTCAAACAACATCAAAGCGAGAACATTTAAATATTATACATCACCCAGTGGTATTTGAACTGTGTACTAATTTTCAGGATTTTGTTTTTTTTAAGATATAGAACATAGAAGGCCATTATGCTATTATGAAATGTATGATTAAATATAACAAAATGATTCCCCAAACTTCTTTAAAATGATACTGCAGTAAAGTTATTCTACGTTTTTCAGTAATCTTTCCATAAAAACAGTTTTAATATTCAATGACTTTGTGTTGGAAGGTATTTTTCCAAAAGTTGCAAAAATGTTAAGTGCTTTTCATCTGAAAAAAATCAACATTCATTTTTTGATAACTTAATATTTAAACAAATTTTCATAGTTAATTTTTAGGGATGAGATAAACAAAACTTTGGAAGTCACTATTCAACTAAAATTTATTAGAAAGGGAATGGGCAGTCTTCCAAGCTGCTAGTATTATTTTGTTCCTAAACATTTTAGATATAGAATAATGATAATAATAAGAATTTGAGTTTGATTTTGGAGAAAAAAAATCTATGAGAATAAAAATTAAATGCATTGCTAATTATTAAGAAAATGGGATTCCATACCTCCTACCCTGCTCAATACCAGCTGGAAAACTAGTTAATTTACACCAATTTATATGATTGACCTTCTTACACAAAAAGAAATTAAAATATTAACAACTATTTTTGATAATTCCTGAGAATACAAAGATTTCTCACAGTTGATGCTGACATACCTTGCTTTTAAATTCTTTAGCAACACTTCGAAAATCTTCTAATATTTTTTCATAATCGGAAGCAGTCTTGCTAATGAAAAGCAAGTTGTGAGATTTGATTTCACCTCCAAAGATCTTCTGAGCACTCTAGGTTAAAAAACAAAAAGAAAGTAAATATACTTCTTTTCATACCTATTTTACAGACAGGAGAGCTAAGGTTATCATGTGTTCATTTAAAACAAAGTTATTATTTAAAAATGTTTTACAAAACATTTAGAAATAGAAACAGTTCATGGCTCCTAAACATTTATAAAACATCAAGTTTAATTATCTGTAATGAGCATAGGTTATATAATTTAAATGATGTTATTACTTTGTTTTTTAATTAAGAACAAAATATTTGTAGAACAGAGACCTAAGTAACAATTAACTCATCATTCATTCTAATATACAGTGAACAGGAATTTCAGCTGGAACTCAAAAGCACAAAAAAAAAAACTATAAAATTGCCCTATCATTATTTAGTTTTAAAATGTACAAAGTAAATTATTTCATTATTCACCTTTGAAAAGAAAGGTCGTTTACTAGAAAACATCACATATTTTATTCATGTCCTGTGCGAAGAATGTTTTAAATCTAAGCTAAGCTATCCATCTTCTTGCATTTTCTTACATCATTTAGTTTTCGTCAATTTATCTAAGTACAACATATTTCACATAACAATATTTGTTCACAACTTTACAAAGAAAACTTCATAAATATTTAACAAAGATTAAGAAAAAAATCTTTTTACAATTAAACTTCCATAACACAATTATCAAAATATTTTATCAACAGGGAGAAGACTAACGGATCCAGTTATTAACTAATTTACTGAGCAGTATTAAAGACAAACCTCGTGGTTAAATTCAACAACAAGTGGAAGACTATTGGCCTTTACAAACTTCTTTACATTATCGACAGTCAGGTCACCTTCGTAGACATTTTTCCCCTCATCAAACTGAAACAAATTGAATAGAGCTGATATAAAACTAACAATACAAGTCAATATTAAAAAATACAAAAAAGTTCATTCACTTTTTTTAAACAAGACATATTTAGGTTTAATGGCAATTTTCACAAAACATTTTTTTTTACACTTGAAATAATGGTATTGAACCTACACAGAAAAACTTTCCAAAAAAACAGATTTATTAACTTATACAGCTACATTTATTGACAAGTCTCAAACTTCATTACTGAATTTTGTTTTTTTGTTTTTTAAGCTGAGTATAATTAGTGAACTTGGTTACCATTATTTTTAAATTATCACACATTTAATCATTATGATAAGTCATAACTTCGAAGATCTATCAATGGATTTCTCATTATTCATTATCTAAAAATTTAATTTTTGTAGCTTAATTCTTTTTATCTTTTGTCAACTGTTGTCTAAGTGACTTATCAAAAATAGCCAATTTCTTTCTCAAATCAAATATCCTTCAGAGTTTCTGACTTACTACATGAACAAATATAAAGAATTCTAAGAATTATGTATTTTTATACAGTGTCCTAAAGCAGGAAAGATGAGATTGTGGTACAAGTAGAACTTATCGCAAGACTTATTCAACTCTCTCTCTCTCTCAGATGAAAAATGATTTTCAACTATTTTCTCGCGTGCGCGCGCGTGTCAATTTTTTTCTTTAATTCATACATATTCAATCATCATCTCCATCCAACTATTTGTAAGCCAAACTGGAAGCTGTGAAAACATTTGGCAAATTATCATAAGGAGATTCAACCGCCAACCCACGCAAATTATCATAAGGAGATTCAACCGCCAACCCACGCAAATTATCATAAGGAGATTCAACCGCCAACCCACGCAAATTATCATAAGGAGATTCAACCGCCAACCCACGCAAATTATCATAAGGAGATTCAACAACCAACCTACATAAATTATTTTCAGCAAATCCAAGTTTAGAACTTACATATTCAGTTCATGATAAGTTCCTAACTATTAAATGGAACAATCCTATCACAACCTTTTATAAAGAAGGCTATTCACAAAATCACTACATATACCTAAAGGGAAGATAACTGAAATTGTGTATATCCAACCAATAGCACAGAAGTATCTTGTCCATGCACACAGTTGATGGAAAATCTGTTGCAACATTATATGAAGCATATTGGTTGCTGCAAGATTATTGTCTAATGGAAAACTTAAGCTTCAATGTGATCTCTATTTTTAACACCATGATAATTACACTAGTTAAGCCAAATGAGCCTCTACAGACGTATAACCAAAATATTATAATTGTCTGAAGAATCAGGCAATCTACATCCACAGCCATCTCTACGAACAGAACAAAATGAAGCCAGTGTTATTGTTATCCCTTTATCTGAAATTAGAGCCTAGTAATTAGTGGTATTTGCTAATTGATTAACCAACAAATCCATTAATTCCACAAAGACAGTGCTGGCATTTTTTCACCAATCCAAACTATACATAACAATGTTTACTATAATTATGAATTTAATAAGCATATCTTCACAAGTTCTGGCAAGCTTTTAGTATACATCACAAGTTTGTTGGGCACAAAAATCAGATTTTTTGTAATAAAGTATTCTTTACTAAACATTTGTTTGTGAGGTTATGAAGCTAATATGACTTGTCTTAGTGCTAGGTAATTTTCAAGGTAAAAATAAATAAATACAACTTTTGATCTTACAACCTTCATATTTAATTTCCATGACCTCTAGAACCTCCTACATGAATTTTAAGGTAAAAGTTTATATTTTATCTATCTGACACTAACTACGGCTCAACCAGAGTACAGAAATCCAAGTTTGAAAATTATGAACATACCTTTTTCTTTCAAGAAATAATTTGTTGACACAACTTGAATTAATGTTATTCAACTCTTTACCTTTTTACATACTTTATTTTTAATTTTAACAGTTTCATTGCCTGCCTTGTATCGCATTCAATTCATTTATGCCCGAATTGAACACGTCACAACAGGAAGAAATCACTAGGTTCCCATAACTTCACACAAGAATCGGGCAAGTATATGCAGTGACCACTTAGTGAGCTAAGCCTTATTAAAATCATACATGACTAAATGTTCATGATTATAAGAATGTAATTATGTTCAAGCTTCAATAGTGCGATAGCATGAAGTGAATATGGTTTACTAAAAGCAAACAAGGTTGATTGTCAAATACTTACCTGCCTTTAACTAGCTCTGGATTTCAGCAGAGATACAGCTTTTATTAACAAGTTTGTGCACGTAATGTAACTGCTCACATAACTGAAGTTTTTGTCACTTTAAACAAAAGTAGAATTTTCAAACACCGAGAATCTACGAGCCACAGAAACCCCACTATGACCTTCGTGACACAGACAAAAATAGTGTATCACACCATGATACAAGTTAAATCTCTAATCTCAAGCCTACCTTTCCAATCATACATCAATGTACTTTAAGGAGTTTGTGCATTTCCAAGGTGTTTGGATATTACTGGTTTCAAAACAATATCTTACAAGTGAACCAGCCAGTTCAAAGTAACCTCTTAATATCAATTTGATTAAGCATAAACATTAAAAGATACAAAACAATACTGGATTAAGTATCCTAGTACTAATATTTTATATCTGGTCCCGGTACTTCCTCCCCTCCGTCAGAAGATTTCTCGTTACATTGAAAGAACTGAGTGGATGGACAATGACAATAGAAATGGTGACCAATTCTCACCTGACAGATGAATAAAGACAATTTATCTAAGAACATGACATCTTGTAGTTAACACTCCGGAGTTTAGAACAAAAAATACATCATAAAATCATTTCTACAGTGGGCAGATGCACAAGTCAGTGATGAAACAAGTTACTAAGATGCTTACGGTTGATAATCCATTGGTATATTCCTCCAAGCCCCCACCCCCTAAAATTGTTGTGTTAAGGATATCAAGCTTTTTCACACCCAAAACTATTATCCCAAAGTTTTAAAGAAATGTAGGAAGAGGGGGGAAGGGGCACACTAAATTTAGCTTGTTTTTTTAATACCATTACCTAATGTTTTAGCTAAAGGATAGTAAAACCAAAAAAAAAAACTACCTTCTTAAAGAGAACAATGCCATCTTTCTGGACATCTAATTCTTTATATATTTCATCTTGTGAGGTGATGGCAAATGGATAATCGTCAGTTACTGCAGCAGCTTCCAGGAAGATTTTGGCTTCTTTACTTTCCAGGTCTTTATAGAAACCTATGATAACAACCTCCGATCCTTCCTTGAACTGCTTAGTTTCTTCAACTGTCTTAAGTGTAAGAGCAGGTGGTCCAGTTTTCTTCTTCAACCAAAGAATGATTTCATCAGCACTACGACCACCTGTTCATACAAGGATTCTGGTTTCAACAACCTAAATTTCTTAATTTACTTCTGTCATGTAAGTATCAGAATTCACTAAAAGCTTATTAGAACAAGACATTTCGAGCCAACAAGATGACAAAGAATGTTCTGACTTTTAACTACTGTTAAACTTTGGCTTACCGTTTCAATTACATGAACATTTTGACTGTGCCAATTCCTCAAAAACAGCTTCAAATAATTTGAAATTCCAATGAAATATTAAACTGAGAATCAAAAGTATAGAAAACATAAGTAAAAAAAGTTAGTATCCACAATCAATGACCAACAGCAGGACGACTAAAATGAAAGTTACAAAAACAATTTAAGTGTTATTCCTATTTAAATAAACTAAAAAGAAAATGAAAATACATCCATGTTTCTAAAACAGATCAAGTCATTTTTATTTACAAACCTAACTAAAAGTGTAAAAGCCTATAAACATATTTGTTAAATATTCTAATTTAAAATGTAATCTTGGCTAAAACAATCAAGGTTACTTCATAACCATTATTTTTCCTTGACCTATACAGGAGTGTAACCTTTTTTTTTTGATGTTGAAGATTTTAAGTTATGATGAGAACTGGACAATCAATAGGATGCGAGAATCAATTAAATATCAAATACACTGATTACAATCGTCTGCTCGATTATTCTCACAAGAGATATGGGTAGTAGAAATAAATAAAGACATTAATTTTGATCAGTTGATATTTTGAAGAGTTGTAACACAAATTACGTTCAAACTTATATTAATCAAAACCAGTAATAACCTGAAAAAAAATCTAGATTAGCTGATTTTTTTTAACAAAACTTATATAATTGTAACTTCAACTAAATTCATTATTTTACATTACACTAATCCACAAAGTCAATTCTTACAGTTAGTCAAGTTAATCAGCCCAGCTCTAATTATGATTGTACAGTTAGTCAGCCCAGCTCTAATTATGATTGTACAGTTAATCAGCCCAGCTCTAATTATGATTGTACAGTTAATCAGCCCAGCCCTAATTATGATTCTGTATAGTTGTTTCGTCTCACATTAAAGATTTTAACAAATGGAAGATCACACTTTTTTCTTTTATTAAGTTATACCCAAGTTACATTTATGGAACTCACCTCTTCCATTTACTCATTAAATATATACTTTTCCCTTTAAAACTTGAAGTCAACAACATTACCTACTAAAAAGAAAAATCAAAGAAATTTAAAACAATCTCAGTGAGTAACATCAAAAATAATCACAATTTGACCTGGGCAATAACTGATTAATTGTCAGGCTAATTAATCAACATTTTGATCCATCAAGTTTATCGCCTAGCTCTAGTTACATTCAGCATTAATTTTGACCTTTAAAAGAAACAAACATGTTTACAAAGTCCAAGATTAAAGTCTACTATTAAAGTACATTTTTCATTAACATAGACCACAAATCAAACAACTGCAGTTTTGCCTATGTAATCTTAGTAGTTCTATACCATGTTCAAACCAAAAGTTATACACTCAAAATTACACATTTTATAAAATTTAACCGATAATCACAACTATTACAATTTCCATCTGTATATATTTACATGCACACAATACTTTAATATCATAGTTCACACTAATTTTTGTAGCTGTTAGAAAGTAACTGATCTTTAATAGGATTACCACGTGAAGATTACTTCATCGATTGTCACCACTATCCCTACTTCGGGTATTTTTATATAAAAATAATTTTTCTAAAATCTTACACGTGTGTAAGAGCCAACATAAAGATGTTTTATTTATTAATATACAATTAATATAATCTTTCAGCCAACTACTAGAGATTAATATAACACCAGTGGACCCGAAGGTTAACATCACGGGAGTTTCATATATATCGCAAACCGTGGAATCTGTCCAAACATTCCTCTGTCTCCCATGTGAAGGGCTATGCACACAGACAAATCTCAGCATTCATTTTTGAAATCATCTGGAGAACAAGCATGAATAATGTTGATGCCAAAATTTTATCTTGCAACCAGGATATTCTATAGTAAAATGTTAGGAATTAAATCACACTATCATTCACATTTCAAGATATGATGCAACTTAAAGAATAAAAATAGTTTTACCATATGTTATTGTTGTGAGGCTCTTAGCAATTACTTTTTGTAGTGGGCAGTACAGGTCGCTCAGATCTTTGGCTCAGATTGAAATCAAGAGTGCAACACAATTAAGATTTTTAAAGTCCGAGAAATAATTTAAATTGATAGATTAATTTAAACTTTTCCCATCACTGGGGACGGGTATTTTTGCTTGTCACAACATATATCATGACAAGCAACAAGTATGCAAGTCCCAGCAAGTTCATGGACCTAAATTATTAGCCACAGCATAGTAGCTCATAAAATGGCTACAAGTTTTGTTTAATAACGTAATCTACCCGAGTAATCCACTGGTTCAGAATCACTCTCTTAATAAACTAATAACGTAATCTACCCGAGTAATCCACTGGTTCAGAATCACTCTCTTAATAAACTAATAACGTAATCTACCCGAGTAATCCACTGGTTCAGAATCACTCTCTTAATAAACTAATAACGTAATCTACCCGAGTAATCCACTGGTTCAGAATCACTCTCTTAATAAACTAATTATGTAATTACCTGAGTAATCCACTGGTTCAGAATCTCTAAAGAACTTCAGGGTGGGGTAACCTCGAACACCATGTTTCTCAGCTAACTCTGTCTCCTCTGTAGCATCGACTTTGGCCAGTTTGATATCAGATTTTTCATCAGCCAACTGAGTTGCAGCTTTTGCATATTCAGGAGCCAATGCTTTGCAGTGTCCACACCATGGGGCATCTTATAGAAAATAGTGGTTTCAAAAGAACCCAAATTTAATTTTGTCACTGCTCATACTAAACTCAAAATGAAACAAGTCATTTTCACTCAAAAACAAAACTGTTCTATCAATGATAAGATTCTAAGCCATTCTCTTAACGTGGAACATGACTGTTGTCAACAGCAATTTAATCTAGAGAGATTATCAATACCACGTAAATCAGTTTTACATTTTATCACAACTTAGTATAACAACAATTCATTGATATAAAACAAAATCACTGAATTATGATTTTCTAAGTTACCAAATCACTTTGAAGCACAAATTTATTAAAAAAATTATTTTTTGGTTGTTAAGTAATAGCTAAACTTAATAGTGGATGTCTGGGGAGTAGTATTAGTACATATAGTTGTTTAACAATAGGATTTAGAACTAAACTTTTATTGCTTTCCACATCACACCAAGTTCAGTCAGATGAAGAATCTTACAGAATTATAAGGCAACTTACAAATTAAACGTCTCTGAACACTTTAATCAAATAGTCTATACTTACAAGTATATTTCAGTAAGCATGCTTATATACCTTTAAGCGGCAACAATCGTTTGCCAGTATATCTTAGGATTATACCCTAATCAATTCTTCACCCAATATAAATACATGGGTATTATCCCCCCCCCTCATCTAAAGGTTTCACTATCAATAAAACTAGTGAAATTAATTTTTCACAGGGGTTTTGATACGCACATTTTATTGCTTACTGAATGCCCAGCTACTCGCACAGCATGAAATACTAACATTTTAAGACAAAAATGGACAAAGTAGTGTTACCTAAAAGATTGTTCATTACCCCTGAGGAAGGAAAGTCCACCTTCAGAAAGTACTTGGAGTATTGGGGTCATTTTCTGGATATAATTTAGCAGTTTGCTTTGGTCAAAGTTACTGATGACTAAAGTAAAGGATTATAAGTCATACAAACTCAAGTAACAAAGCTATACACTAAGATTAAAACATCTGGCTACAGATAACAATGCTTCCTGGTTGTTAGGCATTCTGTACATTTGTACTTTGTTTTACTACAGAAACAAAACAAGTTTGAAGAACATGGATAACAACCATTTTGTGTTTTCATATAAAATGGCTGAATACAATGTATACAAATGCAATACTAAAGTAGAACTTGTCTTCTCTATACTAGCACCAAGATAAAATATTACTGGAGCAGAAGATTGTATCAATATATCCACAGAATAGCACAACACTATTTTCAGTCGGAGCTTTCCAAAGACTCCATTTCTTTGCTTCCATTATATTAATGATCTGTAATACAGCCAAGATACGACTGTATATAAAATTTCTAATCTAATTATTTGCTATACATTTATTACTTTTTAAAAGATTTCAAGATCAGGAATATCACCTAGAACCTGATAAATATTCTAACTTGGGAGGAAGTACAGTTTCTGAACTCTTCAAGTTTTTATGAACATGTGATGGACAGCTTTGAAGGGACAAATGGTCTGTTACTATATGTATACATTAAAATGAACAAAAGACAAAAACACTAGACACCTCAGTATTCTGTAAGCATTTAGTTAATAATTACTGAACTGCTATCAATAGTCACAAGAAATACCAACAATTCAATTCAATTCTGCTTTAAATATAGCTTCAACAGTTTTCCTTGAAAAACACATAGGATCTTAAATTACATTCGTTTTATCCGAGTAAATATTCAACAAGATTATTATTAAAAATAATATCTCCCAAAACAAAACTAAAAACTATTAACTCTAAACAAAATTTAATCTAACAGAAGCTTGAACAGCACCAACACATTGAAAAATTAAAAACTAAAGTGTAACACTAAGTGTAGCATCAGACATCTTATTCTAAATCTTCGCTAACTAATCTATACTTTACCAACGTTGTACGTTACTTCAGTTTGGCGTTATGAAATTTGAAAGACATATACATATATATACTTACAGAATTCGACGAGTATGTATTTATTATCTTTCAGAACTTTCTCAAAATTGTCCTTATTTAACACTAATACATTTTCTTCTTTTTTAATATCATCTTCGCCAGCGGCAATTACAACACAAAGAAACAACAAGCCAAAAGTACGAAACCACATCTTCTCAAACAGACTACTTTCCGTTCACTACTAAAGTATAAGAGGAAGATGACACACGTGGCACTAGAATAAATGCATCTTAGCGCATGCGTTAAAAAGAAAGTAACATCGTGTTGGAAACGGATTGGTCGAGTATTGGTCACGTGAACAGGAAGTTCAATGTTGAGGTTGACGTGTTGCACTGATATATATACACAGATCAGTGACGTGGAGTTATGTTAAAGTATGTGTAAGATAAAGACCGGGCGCGTGCAATGTTAAATTTTGTAACTTTTATAATTTGTTATTATAATTTTTATCCTTCAAAATGTGTGACTTAACTCGATATACAACTGTACAGGCTAACTCAGAGTCTTCAAGTAGTGTTTTAATCATATCACATAAACCTTATAATTAATCGAATGCCTTCGGGCAAGTAAGTCTCATTTTGAAATAAGTTTTTCAACGTTATTTTCTTGTTCTCTTACTGTAAAGTTTTCTTTTCAAAATGCTTAAACAAAACTGTAACACACTTTAACACCAAAATTCAAGAGTTGAAAGCTAAAAAATATGTAATATATATTTAAAAGTAGGGACAGTTGATATTATTTAAATTACAAGCAAGAACGTGTACCTGCAGGATTGTAAACATGTATATACATTTAACAAATGCGAACCTTAATCTTAAACACACACATACATATAGTTTGTGTAGCTTTGCGTTTAACAACAAACAATAAATAGATAAAATACATATGTACAGTTCACTAATTTTATGTATACAATTAGGGCTCGCGTCTCGAAGAACAACAGTCAAACAACATGTATTATTCCTGTCAATAATGGGGAGCTTTGATCACAGAGGGGAAACTTTACACAGAAACTACTTTAAAAACGAAATGAAAAAATTTCTATCATTTTAATCTTATTGATATTATCTTCAAAGCATACGTAAAAGTCCAATGTTTTGTAAAGTGAAAGATTTTAATTTATACCACACTCTACAAAAACATCTTTCTATAAATCCATACAAATTAGTGAGAGAGCAACGTTTTACATCTCATAAAGATATTAGAAACCAAACGTATCAAAATATATTTAATTTTTTTTCAGTAAATAAGTTTATGAATATATATATATTTTTTCTTTAAAGTTAAGATGTAAAATGAAGCTTCTGTCTGCAAAATTAAAGCGATTAAAACGCCAACAATTCTGGCCACACTCACCAACATTCATTTTGATTATTTTT